CACCCAGCGCAGCCACGAGGCGGCCTCTGGCGGCAACGTGACGAAACCTCGCCAGGCCCTCAAAACGCACGAGGCGGCCACGAGGCGGCAACGTGGCGAAACCTTGCTGGACCCAGCCAGCGCACGAGACGGCCACGAGGCGGCCAGGGGACAGATGTAAGCCAGCGTGGACCCCAAACAATGATGTCTTGCAATCTATGCGGTGCAATCCAGGTGGTGCAATCAATGTGGTGCAATCTAGGTGGTGCAATCCATGTGGTGCAATCTACGTGGCGCAAAGCAGCGCAAAGCAATGCGATCGCACGGTTGCAATGCGATTGCAATGCGAAGCGATGCAGAGCAACGCGAATCGATGCAAATCAGTGCAACGCAATGCCAAGCAATGCCAAGCAATGCCAGGGCATGCAGTGCAAAACGAGCGTGACGGAATGCAGCAGGATGGGCGGCGACGGGTGGCCACGAGCTGGCCAGACCAGCACTGGGGCCCAGCGGCGACGGCAGCAACGGGCGGTGACAGGCGGCACTGGGGCCCAGCGGGACGGCGGCAACGGGCGGCGACGGGCGGCGACGGTCGTCAGCGGGCGGCGGCGGGCGGCACTGGGGCCGAGCGGCGACCGCTGAGACGGGCGGCGAAAAGCCGGCCAGACCGGCACTGGAGCTCAGTTGCCTATAAGTGCAAGCACAGTTTAGGGGAATCGGTGGAAGACCTTAAGTGTCAGCAGGGTGGGCCACGCGGAGCGCCTGGGACGTTCTCATCCCTGATGACTCTGGAGCCAGAAACGTGCAGCAACAGCACGGATGGAGGGGGGGGGGCCAGGTGGGGATCTCGCCTCAGCGCCGCGTGCATCAGTCTGAAACGTTTGCAACATACACAGAGATGGCCGGGGAGGTCGTTTCCAAAACGGGGGTCTCGCCTTATCGCATTGCACAGTCGTCTTACAAGCGTGCCACTTGTACACGGATGTAAGGGGGTTCCTTTTTCGAAATGGGGCTCTCGCCTCAGCGCCGCACATTCGCTTAGAAAGCTTGTAACATTTACAAAGGCGACGGGCACTTAATGATCAAACTGAGCCTCTCGTTCTAGCGCCGTGTACTTTCGCATTACAAGTTTGCCGCAGCTGCGAGGATGGAGGATTGCTCAGTTTCAAAATGCTGTTCTCGATTAAGAGATCCTCGAAGTCGGCGACCATACGGTTGAACAGATGTAACAAACTGCACGGGTGGAGCATCAGAATTTCTCAGCTTTCATGGCCATGCGTGCAAGCTTGCGCAAGGGTTACACGGATGCGTGGGAGGTTCCATTTCACAACAAGGCTATCGCTGGACACATCGTTGAACTTCATCACCCTACTTGTTCGCACCCTGTATGACTCGCTCGAGGGATGCAAAGCAAGGCGTGTCCTCTTCAAACCGGGCCTATAGCAGGAACGGCAGGCGCAGAAGGTGGCCGTCTGTACAAAGGGAGCAGCTTATTTCACAAGTAAGGCCTGTCGGAACTTATCAGGAAGATATTTGGGACGGGAGGGCGTACGGCAGAATTGATGATGCATCCCGGGTGACTCTGCTCCCTCCTCTGCTGCTCCGCGGGCCCGCTGCCAGGCCACCGCCAGACCAGCAACAGGGCGGAGACGACCGGTCTCTTGCCAGCGCTGCCATACACTTCGGGCCCCCTGGCGTGCTGGACTGACAGTGAAAGTTTGCTCGGGGGATGGACTCGAGGTGGACGCCTCAGGCCGGCAGGTTGGAGTGCGAGTGGTGCCCTTTGGGAGGCCCTCTAGGGGCCGAAGCGAGCGCGCGTGGAGCTGAGCAGGTCACTGCTAAGTTTCTCAGCGGTCACTCAGAGGCCCACGAGCCGCTCGCCGAGAGAGTCCCCCTGGAGGAGGAGGAGGAGGAGGAGAGGAGGAGGAAGGAGGAGGAGGGAGGAGGAGGGGCGGAGGAGGAGGAGGAAAGAGGTTGTGGCCTGGATCGGGAATCGGGCTGCGGATCGGCTCGCCGCGGACGCGGCGGAAGCCCACCGGATCCCCAAAGGGCCAGCGGGCCTGCCACAAGTGGGCGACCTCGGCGATGTCTCCCTGGTTAGGCCGCGTATAGCTCGTCCTCCTCCTCCTCCCCCCTCACCGCCCCTCCTCCTCCCTCCTCCTCCTCCTCCTCCTCCTCTCCTCCTCCTCCTCCTCCTCCTCCCCCTCCCCCTCCTCCTCCTCCTCCTCCTCCTCCTCCTCCTCCTCCTCCTCCTCCTCCTCCTCCTCCCCTCCTCCTCCTCCTCCTCCCCCTCCCCCTCCTCCTCCTCCTCCTCCTCTCCTCCTCCTCCTCCTCCTCCTCCTCCTCCTCCTCCTCCTCCTCCTCCTCTCCTCCTCCTCCTGCCACTCTGCTTGCTTCTCAGGCCGAGGCGCGCGGCAGGTGGCAGGCAGGTGGCACCGTCTGTCCGGCAGGTGGCGCGCCACCGGCGCAGGACCCGCCCCTCTGCCCTGCGAGAGGGCCATTCAAAAGCAGCCTCCCACGG